TTTTGCTTCTGCTTCCATAGTTGAACTGACTAATAGATACAACTCCCTGAACATCCATCAGAGTAAGACTAAAGAAATTATGGCTTCTTCATCATAATGAAACACTATATAACCGTTTAAAAATGATGTATAATTACATTCACAGACATGAAAAAAGACACCAATGTGTTATATGACAATAGGTTACAAAGAAAGCATACATACTACATATTATATGTTACTTGTTTTAATTCAGAGAAAAAGAACTTTGTTTACCAAAGTTTTAATGATGAGGATGGGACTTTAAAGCCTTACTCTGGGTAGTGTGATTTCAGTGATTTTTACTTTACACTTAGCTGGACTATTTTCTTTCTTTCTTTTTTTCTTTTTTTTTTTTTTTTCTGCAGACAGAGTCTCACTCATTTGCCCTGGGGTTGAGTGCCATGGCGTCATAGCTCACAGCAATCTCAAACTCCTGGGCTCAAGTGATTCTCTTGCTTCAGCCTTCCGATTAGCTGGAACTACAGGTGCCCGCCACAATGCCCGTCTACTTTTTAGAGATGGGGTCTTGTTCTTGCTCAGGCTGGTCTCAAACTCCTGAGCTCAAGCAATCCGCCACCTCAGCCTCCCAGAGTGCTGGGATTACAGGCATGAGCCAGTGTGCATGGCCCTTCTGGATTGTTTTAATTTCCTATAATGGCCATATATAATTATTAATATTATCAGGAAAAACCACAATAAACCTTTCTCACTTGACAGGAAAATATGTCAGGTAGACTTACTTTAAATGGTTAAAATGGGCCAGGCATCTTCCACTGAGGATCACTGAACCCAGGAGTGTGAGGGTACTCAGGCTTAGGCTGATACCACAGTACATAAGACTGGGCAAGAGAGTGAGAGAGTCTCAAAATAAATAAATAAATAAATAAATGGTTAAAATGGTGCCCAGAGTCCTAAAGCATGAATAGGAGTAGTAATTTCAAGCAAAAGGCACATGTACCAAGAACAGATACTAGAAATACTTTACTACAGTTCAAGGCCAGGAGGGCTCCACCCTCGTGAATAGATTACAGTTGTTATCTCAAAAGTAGGGTAAGTAAAAAAACAGTTTGGTCCTCCACGTCTCTGGATCTCACCCTGGCTAGTTTGCCCTTCTGCCTTTTGACACTGGTTAATGAGGTACACAAAGGCCCTCTGGATGCTGGCACCTTGGAATTGGACTCCCTGCCTCTAGAACTGTGAGAAATACATTTTCTTTATAAATTACTTAGTCTGTGGTACTCTGTTATAGTAACACAAAACAGATCATGATAGTCTCCTTTTTTTGCTTCTGGACAAAATACAATCTTTAAAATTTTTTAAATTACAACTGTTTAAATCACAAAAATAAAACTGGCTCACTACAATAATTCAAACAATTCAGAAATACAGTTCTTCCACTCTCCACCAAAACCCTGTCTTTCTTTTCCTGAAATTACTAGTTAAAATTAGTTGAATATTCTTCCAAAAGTTTTTCTTTTTATATGTAAACATACAAATGCTTATATTCATTTATTTACTGTAACTTCCTTTTACTTAATATGATCATAGCTTTTAAGTCAATGTATCCAACAGGTACACCTCTTCATGTTTAGTATCTATAAAAATGTGAGCTTCCCATAATCTGACAAATTTTTTTCTTTAACAAACAGCAATTGTGTCTATAGGAATAATGTGATGTTTTGATCTAAATTTACATTATAGAAAGGCTAAATCAAGCTAATTAACATATTCATCATCTATCAGTTTTTTTTATGGTGAGAATATTAGAAATCTATTCCTTAGGCCAGGCACAGTGGCTCATGTCTATAATCCCAGCACTTGGGAAGCTGAGGAGAGTGGACTGCCTGAGTTCAAGGCAATTAAGGTTTGAGACCAGTCTGAGCCAGAGCCAGAGCCAGACCCCCATCTCTAAAAAATTGCCAGGCACTGTGTCAGGAACTTGTAGTTCCAACTACTTGGGAGGCTGAGGCAAGTGGATCACTTGAGCCCAAGAGTTTCAGGCTGCTGTGAGGTAAGACACCACAGCACTCTACCAAGGGTGACCAAGTGAGACTCTGTCTCAAAAAATAAATAAATAAACAAAAATCTACTCATTTAGTAATTTTTATAATACCATTAACTCTGGTCACCATGCAGTGCAAGAGACTCCAGTCTAACTGAAATTTTGTTCCCTTTGATCA